TCCATCCGTCCATCCATCCATCTATATGTGCATCCATATATCCATACATATATAAAGCATCCCTCCACCCACCCATCCATTCATCCATAAACCATCCATCCATTCATCCATCCATCCATTCATCCATCTCTATATACATCTATAAAGCATCCATCCATCCATCCATAAGCCATCCATCTATCCATTCATCCATCCATGTATGCATCTATATATCCATCCATCTACAAAGCACCCATTCATCCGCTCATCCATCCGTCTATCTATAAACCATCCATTCATCCCTCCATCTATAAACCGTCCATCCATGTGTGCATCTATGTATTCATCCATCTATAAACCATCCATTCATTCGTCCATGCATGCATCCATCTATCCATGTGTGCATCCATATCTATAAACCATTCATCCATCCATGCATCCATCCATCCATCTACAAAGCACCCATTCATCCACTCATCCATCCGTCTATCTATAAACCATCCATTCATCCATCCATCCATCCATCCATCCATCCATCTATAAACCATCCATCCATGTGTGCATCTATATATCCATCCATCTATAAACCATCCATTCATCCATCCATGCATGCATCTGTCTATCCATGTGTGTGTCCATATCTATAAACCATTCATCCATCCATGCATGCATGCATCCATCCATCCATCCATCCATCCACTGAGAGGCAGGGTAGCATGACGGTGCAGAGTGCACCTCAGGATACTGCCATAGGGTCTACCAAATGTCCATTGTCCTCTGTAATTGTCAGTCATTTTGATATTGATTTGTGTGATCTTATGCAACCTCTCCCTGGGCCTCAGTTTTCTCAGCTGTAACCTGGGGATAGTAACACTTAAGTGTCTGTGAAGGTTATGCACAGCTGGTGAATTGCCAAGTCCAGGTGGACATCCACAGGCATACTCACGACTTTGGACTCAGAGGGATGTGGTGCTGGACAGTTTCTGTGTTCATAAGTGGATGTCCCTTTGCCTCCAAGCCATGGAACAGACAGTGTTTGAGAGTGTCACCCCAGCAGGTGGTGGCTCCTGCCCTGCTGCCCAGCTTTATGTACAGGAGCTCGGCCTTGTGCCCCATCCACCCTTTCCTGGGAGGGAAGAAGCCTCAGTCATCGGCTGCTGAGGTGAGAAGAAGAGAGGAGAGCTGACAGCTTCTGCGCCCCTCCCAATCCCCAGTAGTCGGGAGCTGCAGAAATAAATGGAACCGTACAGTTGGAGTAATTTGCTAATTTGCTTAAGTAACACCCCCAGTCAAAGACATGACATAAATACCTGAGCGCAGGCTCCACATCCCCAGCTTGGGTGGCAGGATGGATGGGTGATCTGAAGTGGAAATGCGGTGAATCAGAGCCGAAGGCAGTGATGGTGGCCACCCCCGACCTGAGCTGGGGGTTCTGGCTGCCTCCCTGCTGCAGTGTGTTTGGGGAGGGGCTCGGTGAGGGGTTGCACACTGACTCTGGGTCTGCTGGCCTTGGAGGAGTCTGAGGCACCCATCTAGAGGTATGGGGTCAGCTGGACCAGCGTCCCCCTCCGCAGCCGTGGGGCCTGGGTGGGTTTCCCAGCCTTTGTGCCTCATTCTGCTCAGCTGCAAAGAGGAGATAATAGAACCAAGTACCTTGGGGGTGCTCTAGGGAAATGAGATCTCAGCTCTCCACCAGGGGTCCGGAAGTGGCCATCTTTCCTGCTGTGTCCTCCCCGGCCCACCGCCAGCTGCTCAGGCCCACGCAGTCCTCTTCCCTCCGCTCCGCAGCCTGAGCCTCGCTGGAGAGGGCTTCTCCATACCATGCCTGGTCGCACTGTGGGGCTGTGGGCGGCTTCATTCGCCAGACTCCTGCTGGGGCCTGCTAGGGACAGAGCTGGGGGAAGCAAACCCGCCTGCCTCCATGGTCTTGGAGCTCTCCCAAGAGCACAGCAAGCAGAGTTCCCAGCGCTCTGGGGCCAGGGTGGGCTCTGATGAACAAGAGGAGGGTCGGGGAGGTGGAAGGGGGTTGGAGAATCTCATCCCAGCAGCCTGATTGGAAGAACCTCAGACCAGGGCCAGGCTGTTCCCTTAACATCCCCAGGGACAGAAACCCAAATGCCTGTTAGGAGTGGGCAGTACCTTCAAATGAATGAAGCGGACTAGGGTGAGACGGTAGGGACAGGTGGGGACTGGGGCCAGCTGGAGGCATTCATCCTGTCCAAGGGGACACAGACACTCAGCACTTCCTGACTGGACCGGGATGGCCAGAGGTTAAATTGTGTTTATTTCTTTATTTTTAGAAAACAGAAGTAATGAAGTGTTATTAGGAATGTCTCAGATTTTTGATGTTGGCAACAAGTTCAAGTTTAAAAAAAAAAGTTGTGCCAAACAAAATATGTCTGTGGGTGGGTCTGGCCTGCCTGCTTCTAGTTTGCAAACTCCGGCCCAGGGAAGCTCTTTGGTTTTTTTGAACATCAAAAGTTTTGTACATTGATTATCTTCTATAATATCAGAACAGTCCTGCAAGGTAGCCGTGACTTTTCTCATTTTACAGGTGAGGAAACTGAGGCACAGGGAAGCTAAGTCATACAGCTCGTTGGTGCCTCAGTGGGTCTGGGATCTAGGCTGCTGGAGCTGAGATTCTGTGGCCTGCTATGTACCAGTGGCCCCCCGCCCTGGAGTTGATAAATCCTGAAGAAGAAAGAGCAGTGCTGGCCGGGCGCGGTGGCTCAAGCCTGTAATCCCAGCACTTTGGGAGGCCGAGACGGGCGGATCACGAGCTCAGGAGATCGAGACCATCCTGGCTAACACGGTGAAACCCCGTCTCTACTAAAAATACAAAAAACTAGCCGGGCGAGGTGGCGGGCGCCTGTAGTCCCAGCTACTCGGGAGACTGAGGCAGGAGAATGGCTTAAACCTGGGAGGCGGAGCTTGCAGTGAGCTGAGATCCGGCCACTGTACTCCAACCTGGGCGGCAGAGCGAGACTCCGTCTCAAAAAAAAAAAAAAAAAAAAAAAAAAAAGAAAGAGCAGTGCTTTCTCAAACCTGTAAAGCAGTCTGGGGTGGTCGGTGAGTCAGCTATGAGTAGATTGGGATTTTCTTCCTGTTCTGCAGAAAACTTCTATCTCACCTCAGGGTTCCCTTTCTCACTGCCCTGGCCTACCTTCCCTGGCCAGGCTGGGAACTGGTCATTTGCCGTGGCCATAGGGCATGTGGTTAGACAGACGGCATAGATCTTACCTAGCTGGGAGTAGAGAAGAAGCTTATAAAGGGGCTCTGGACTCTTCTATTTCATTGCAATTAGGATATAATAATGGCTGTAGTTATAGGACATGCATTGCCGTAAACCTCACTCTGCCCTTCCCGGGAGCTCACATAAGGGATGGGGAGGCGAGCTCTTCCTAGAGCTCTTCCTAGAGCGCTTCCTGAGAGCTGAGTGTGATGGCACATCTTCTGAGTCTCAGCCCATATTGCGAGCATCCGTTTCCAATAAGAAAAACAATCCTTAGTATTTGGAGCAGAGGCATTTCTGGAGTTCGGTTCCCCATGGAATGCTCACACAGCGGGAGAGGTAGAGGTTTTGGTCCTGGTGGAAAAGGCTCTGCTGTTCCTGGGCTGCTGTGTTGTCCCAGGGGACAGAGCACGGTGCCCATGCTGCTGGGCATTGCCCGGGAGGGTGAGGAGTGAAGGGGGTGTCAGGGAAGGGGCTCAGTGGAGCCTGATGGCCAGAGGAGTGTTCGAGCACCTTGCCTTGTGTGTGACTTAGCAGATGAAGGTCACGGTCTCCCAGGGATGGAGGGGATGCCTCACGAGGTGTCGGTCTGTTAGCCACAGTTACTGCTTTGTGAACTGGTTATGGAATGTCACCGTTTTCCTGTCCGGGCCCCCATCTCCCCGAGGCCCCTGTGCTGTGCTGGTGCCTTCACATGCTACTTGCCTGACCCACCAGGGCACTCTCCACCCAGGAGGGGCCGGGAAAAAGGCTTGGGTCTCCAAGTGCACTTTCAACATTTCATTTTTTATCCAAATCAGGGCTTACAGGTACCATCTTGACTCTCCAGGCCCATGAGAGCCCAGCAGCTGAGGCTGGTGGGGACTGGGGAGTCAGGGGCCCGAGCCTGGGGTCAGGCTGGCTCTCAGATGGAGTAGGGGGCACAGGGGCGAGTGGCGTTTACTGAGACCGAAGAGCCGTGGTGGTCTTGTTCCTGCATAGAGCCAGTCTGGTGGGTGAAGCCTGCCAGGCAGCTGTCCAGAAACCAGCCCCAGCCAGTGTCCTGGGTGGCACACTCCTGCCTAGGGCATCCATGAAACGGGACCCCAGAGAAAGATGTGTACCTTGGAGGAACTACCCAAAAGTTCGCACACGGCAAAGCTAGAATGACACTGTTGTAATTCGGTGGCTGTATACATAGACGTTTTTGTTTTGATTCCATCTAGAGTGCGTTTTGGCTTTGAATTTCCATGGCAGTAGGGGTCGGCCCTATAATGTTTCCTGAGTGTGGGGTCTCCAAACGTTTGAACTGGGTTCTGCAAAGACCTTGTGATTCCTTTCGGAAAGTGGAGGATAGAGTCCCAGATACCCAGGGGGTAGGGGCCTGGGACCATGAGGCCGGTGACAGCTAGGACTGGGGGTGCAGGGTGAGGGGTCTTCTACCAGTAGACAACTAGTCCAGAAAGAAGAAACGGAGGCAGAGAAGTCCCAGGATAAGGCCAGGCACTCTGCAGCTTAGCGGCCTGGGAGGAACCTGTCCAGCCTCCTCCCAGTGATCTCAGGGGCCGATGGCCAGTGGAGGCCCGGGCAGGCAGGACCATGGGGACAGTGATCCTGTCTGAGGATCTGTCTGAGTGATCCTCTGCTGCCTCCTCTGATCTGATGAAGACACCTGTTGGGGGCCTGGCAGCAGGTACTCCGTCAGCGATTCCAGCAGCTTCCTCCTGGCCGCCCCTCTCTCAGCTGTGCTGTGGCTTCTGGAAAAGCTGACAGCTGTGTGCTGCGTGTCTGTCTGTGTCCGCCCCTGCAGGCAGCCTGCCCTACGAGTACAAGATCGTGATCGCAGGCAACCACGAGCTGACCTTTGACCAGGAGTTCATGGCTGACCTCATCAAGCAGGACTTTTACTACTTCCCATCTGTGTCGAAGCTGAAGCCGGAGAACTATGAGAATGTGCAGTCGCTGCTGACCAACTGCATCTACCTTCAGGACTCGGAGGTCACCGTGCGGGGCTTCCGGATCTACGGCTCCCCATGGTGAGTGGGCCTGGGCACTGGTCCTGCCTGCTGGCAAGACCAGAGCTGAGGCTGAGTGCAGGGGGTGTAGGGGATGGGAGAAGCAGCAGGGAGCTCCGCATGCGAGGCTCAGGACTGAATCTTGCCCCCTCACCCTCTGTGTGAACCTAGGCAGGTGACTGCTGCTCTCTGGGCCTCTCTTCCCCCATATCTCACTGAAAATAGTATGATCAGCTGTATCCTGTGTTATGCTGTGCACGATACTAGCTCACTTACAGGCAGGTACTATTATCTGCATTTCACAGGTGAGAAAACTGAGGCCCAGAGTGGGCGAGGACCTTGCCGAAGGTCACACAGCTAGGAAGGGGCAGAGCTGGGATTAAACCCAAGCGATTTGGTTCCAGAACCCCTGCCTTTAATGAATGTTCTGTAATGCTAGGAATCTTTCCCTGATGCTGTCTTCCAGCTCCACACAAAAAAGATGCATATGTCAGGGGCTGGGCGAGATGATGATGGTAATAATGATGATATTGGTGGTGATGGTGATGATGGTGATGCTGATGGTGTAGTGATGATGATGGTGATAATCATGGGGATGGTGGTGACGGTGATGATGATGGTGGTGGTGATGGTGGTGGTGGTGATGATGGTGTGATGATGATGGTTGATGATGATGGTGATGCTGATGCTGATGGTGATGATGGTGGTGATGATGGTGTGGTGATGATGTGATGATGGTAATGAGGAGGATGATGGTGGTGATGATGATGATGGTGGCAATGATGATGGCAGTGAGAATGACGATGGTGATGATGGTAATGATGCTGGTGTGATTATAATGGTGAGGGTAGTGATGGTGATAATGATGATGGTGATGATGCTGATGTGATGATGATGGTGAGGGTAGTGATGGTGATAATGGTAATGGTGGTGATGATGATGATGGTGGTGTGATGATGGTGAGGGTGGTGATGGTGATGATGGTGATAATGGTGGTGTTGGTGATGATGATGGTATGGTGATGGTGATGGTGATGATGATGATGGTGGTGTGATGATGGTGAGGGTGGTGATGGTGATGATGGTGATAATGGTGGTGTTGGTGATGATGGTATCATGATGGTGATGGTGATGATGATGATGGTGACAATGATGATGAAGGAGAAGGCAATGGTGATGATGATAATGGTGATGGCAGGAAATAATTTCCGAGCAATTACAGTAATCTATGCCCTAGGCTAAAGGCTCCATAAACCTTACCTCTAATCCTGACTCAGCCCTGTGAGGATTGATTTATTATCCCTGTTTTATAGGTGGACAGAATGATCGGCCACAGGGTGTCCAGTGCTGGCAGGGTGAGATGGGCTTCATACATGGAAGGGCAAGATCACATATGCTTAAAAGTGTGGCTTGATCCTGGAAGGCTCCCTGGAGGGTGTGGAGTGACCTGAGCCTTGAGGGAAGAGAAAGGCATTCACAGGCAGGGGGAGTAACGTGGTCTGAGTCTGCACTATCAGGAAGCAGCACAGTCAGTGAGGCTAAGGAGCCCTTTAGAGGCACAAAGGGCCTGCCTGGGTGGAGAGACTTCAGAGAGAGCTACTGCCAGCATAGAGCATCTGGGAAACCCCTGGGCTGCCCTGGTTGGTGGCTGGAGGCTGTAGGCAGATTTAGGACCTGGTCTCATCTTGCCATGGCCTTCTCATGGAGCAGAGGGGAGGGCTGGGAGGCTCAGGGCTGTTTCCTCTTCCCTGGCCTTGGCAGGTGCTTGCTATCATCTCCTTGGACCTCACGATGTACAGGTTCTTGGTGAATCCTCCCTGCAGACAGTGAGGTCCCAGACAAGGACCTTTGGGCACTCAAGGATGTGATGAGGTCAGTGCCAAGGACAAGGAGAGGAGGGGAGATGGTTGAGTCTGCCTGACAGGCGACTAGAGCTCAGATCTGGAGAAGTCTGATAGGCTGAAGACCAGGAGGGCAGTCTAGGAGGAGGACCGGCAAGCAACAGCCTGGGGGTGAGCCAGGCACGATGGAAAGTCTGGAGTGTCAGGTGTGTGCGGGCAGGTGGGCAGGTAGGGGTCAGCATGGTGAGAGGTGGAGGCCCGCAGTCCCTGGGAATCTGGACTGATCTCTTTGCCCAATGGTTTGTACTTTTCTCCTCAGCAAACTGCTTTTTTGTTTAAGTTAGATTTTGTAGAGGTTAAGAGCATGGCTCTGGAGCCCAACTGTTTGGGCTCAAATCTTGGCCTCACCTTTTTTTTTTTTTTTTTTTTTGAGATGGAGTCTCGCTCTGTTGCCCAGGCTGGAGTGCACTGGTGCGATCTTGGTTCACTGCAACCTCCACCTCCTGGGTTCAAGCAATTCTCTGCCTCAGCCTCCCGAGTAGCTGGGACTACAGGAGCCTGCCACCATGACCGGCTAATTTTTGTATTTTCAGTAGAGATGGGGTTTCACCATGTTGGCCAGGCTGGTTTCGAACTCCTGACCTCAGGTGATCCACCCACCTTGGCCTCCCAAAGTGCTGGGATTACAGGTGTGAGCCTTTGTGCCTAGCCAGACTCATCTTTTACTAGTTGTGTGATGCTGGGTGAGTCACTTAACCTCTCTGTGCCTCAGTTTCCTCCTCTGCAAAATGGGAGTGAGAGTGTGGCTCCTCCAGAGGGTGGCTGTAAGGCTGCCGGAGGGTTCGGCTGAGCCTGGTGCCACTACAGAGACCTCATTCTTGTTGTTTGCTGCAGAGCTTACTCTTCCAGCACAGCTTTGCCCGGCACCCAGTGTGTTGGGTGGAGGATGGTGGGGGAGGAGGGCTGCCAGGCATCACTCAGGGTGTTGCCCACTCCCCCACACAGCGCAGCTCTGTGCATCCCACAGCTGGGCTCCGAAGAGCCCCTTTGACCACTGGCTCCCTGGGCTCAGGAGCGAACTAAAGGCCAGGAGTGGGCCCTGCCCTCGTCTGCCAGCCGAGGCCAAGTCCTGGCACTGCTGTGGTTGTGGGCCTGAGGACCAAGTGAGACCGGCCTGTGGTCCTGCTGTGGTCCAGCTGCTCTGAGTTCCAGCCACCAGTGGCTCCCGGTTTTGCTTCTGTGTCTTCCAGTGTGAGCAGTTCTGGGCTCCCTCATTCCTGGTTACCCCCAGGGTCTGAGCACAAGCAGGCGGTGTCATTTCTTTCTCCCTGACTCCCTACCCACTGGGTGCACACACACAGCCTGTGCCATGCTAGGGAGTGGGAGAAGCCAAAGGATAGACAAGGGAACTCGAGCCCAGGAGATGGGTTCAGGGGCCATGTGACCCTGCCCCAGAAAGGGTTTGGTGAGATCCAGGAGGACTCCCTGTTGGAGAGAGCATTTGAACTGGGGCCAGAAGAGGCATGAGATTTCCACAGGCAGAGGAGGCAGGGGAAGACCCACATGTCTGAACCTCTGTTACGTGTCAGGCTCTGTGCCAGGCTCTGTGCCAGGCTCTTGGGTCGTGTCGCTTGACAACCGTTAACACCGAGGGCTGAACGCCCCCTCCTCTCCGTCCCACAAGGGAGGCTGTGAGCTGGTGCTCCTCCTGTTCCTCTCAGGCCCTATCTGGGGCTGGGAGCAGATGGTGGAGGTGAGGCCTGGGCTCATTTGCTGGCAAGTTTCACTCAGTTTCCAACTGTTGTGAGCAGATTGCCGGTGTCCGCCGCTGTGGTGCCACGGAATGGATGCCGAGCCACTCTGGCCTCTACCCTCCCCTGGGAGGCTGGGTCCTGCCACCATGCCCCAGCAGAGAGTGTCTGGGAAACCCCTGCGCTGCCCTGGTTGGTGCCACATGGTGACCACCTGGTGGCTGGAGGCTATGGGCGGATTTAGGACCTGGTCTCATCTTGCCACAGCCTCCTCATGGAGCAGAGGGGAAAGTGGGGAGGTGCAGGACTGTCCCATCTTCCCTGTCCTCGGCAGGTGCCTGCTGTCATCTCTCTGGACCTCATGATGTATACAGTCTCAATGAACCTTCCCTGCAACCAGTGAGGTCCCAGACAAGGGCCTTTGAGTACTGGAGGCTGTTCAAATTGGGACACCAGCACTTTTCAGCTGTGTGACTTTGGGCAGGTGGCTCAGCTTCTCTGGTCCTTCTGTGTAGTGGGGAAACGACAGTGCCTGCCTTGTTGGGGAGTTGTGAGGGCTGCGTGGGCCCATCCAGGTGAAGGCCTGGCTCAAAGGAAGGCTCTGGAGAGTGGCTGCGGTCATTTATTATTACTGGGGTGCTCCTTGGGGAGCCAGGAAGAGAATAACCATTTAGTTTTATTCCACAAACTCCAAGGCAGGGCTAGGCCTGCAATTACCCCATTTTACAGAAGGGCAGGTAGAGGTCCAGGCAGGGATGTGGCTTGCCCAGGGCACCTGGGGGGTGACCCTCCATGCTCCCGGTCCTAGCTCTTCCTGCTCCAGGGCGGAGGCCATTCAGTGGCCTTTCTGAACGCCTCCTGTGTGGCAGGTCTCCATCCTCAGAACAGCCTTTGGGTGCACAGGGGCCGTTTCGGCCCCCTGAGGAGACTGAGGCCTGGGGATCGAGCTGATGTCCTCATGCCCTCAGGAATAAACTTGTTAATTCATTCATCAAGGTTGTACGGAGTGCCAGGGAGACCCTGGGGACATGGTGTGGACAGACAGACGCCACTGCTGCCTTCATGGGATTTACGTTCTCATGGGAGACTGTCAACAGCTAATTCCATCATCCGTAGGAGTCATGAAGGAGGGGCCTTGGGTGCTGGAGTCAGGCGAGGCTTCCTGTGGGAAGAGCCAGAGGCTGAATAGATACAGGCAGCTAAGTGCAGGTGAAACGGTGTGGCAGGCAGAGGAAGCAGCCTGGGCAAAGGCCAGGAGGCTTAAGGGCCTGGGGCATTTTGGGGACCACAGAGCTGAGTGTGGCTTCCGGGGGTCTGGGTGGATGACAGCAAGAGAGCAGCGGCTGGGCAGCCAGATCGTGTTGGTGCCTCCAGAATCCAGGTCCCTGGCCATACCCCCGTCCACCCACCATGCTGCTGGTAGCCAGGAC